TATTGGTGGCTAGGATGGATGATCTACATTTTTTAACAAATGATTCTTGGGTGCTTCATAGTTTCCTTTTCTTTTAGTTAAACGAGTCTGTCGTGGTGTACGGTTTTTTTTTCCTGTTTTTTAACAAAGGCAAGATAAGCTATTTGTGTTTGTCGTTTGAATCTCTCTTGTGCCTGTAAAGAGTAAGTTCTTTCCACTTTTTGTGTCCCAAGTTCATGTAGTTAGCAGCTTTGTGGCTTCATATCCAAATAGAAGCATTTGGTCCTGTTTTTTTCTTATTCAATTTTTTGATCTTATTTTCTCAGATACGGAGAAATTCTACACAGAAGTCCAGGAGATCATTCTTGCTAGATACAATAAGACTTTTGATTGGTCTCTCAAGGCCAGAATGATGGGTAAGAAGGCAATAGAAGCTGCTCGAGTTTTTGTGGAAGAGACTGGAATCAGTGACTCGCTCTCAGCTGAAGAGTTTCTTGTAGAGAGAGAAGATATGCTGCAAAGTTTATTCCCCTCGTGCCAACTCATGCCAGGTTTAGATTTGATATATTTGATCGCATAATTTCTCTATTGGTTTAAACATTCTCGTTGCATTTCGGCATTTCCTTATTTTGTCTTGCTTAGATATATGTATGTGCTTAGAATTGTTTGAGCTACAATAGTTAGAAAATATTTCTATTCCCATCTCATCTTTGGATTACAGGGGCCAGCCGTTTAATTCAGCATCTCCATGCAAATGGAGTTCCTATTTGTGTTGCAACTGGGTAAGTTCCTTGTTTTCTTTAAATCCTTAAGTAGGTTTTGGAGATGGAATTGGTAAAATATCATTCGACACGTTTGGCAAGCTTGCTCATTGATCTTTTTTACCTTGTTGCAGTTCACACAAAAGGCATTTTGAGTTGAAAACTCAAAGGCACCGTGAAATATTTTCACTGATGCATCATGTAGTTCTCGGGGATGATCCAGAAGTCAAACAAGGGAAACCTTCACCCGATGTATTCATTGCAGCTGCCAAGAGATTTGAGGTTAATTACTTATTATGAACACCTCTAAGTAGTAGTGGTTTTGGAAAAAAAAGTAAATAAATAACTGCAGGGAGATATAAATAATAGGGGAAGGAAAGAGTATTTGGAGCAGAACATGTTCGAGTTATAGAAGAATGGCGAGATGTGATTTTATATTTTTTTCACCAATGAAAACTTTTATTTTTTATTTTTATTTTTTATTTTCATCACGCCTTAATTAAATTTGGGACTCTTGATGCTTTACTATAAATTGGTTCACACACAAGATAATTCAAGTTGCTCGTGTGTTAGAAAATAAAGAAGTATCTATGCAGGTAAATGATTATTGGTCGTTTTGCAGGGTGGACCAGTTGATCCACAAAAGATACTGGTTTTCGAAGATGCGCCATCTGGCGTATTGGCAGCTAAGAATGCCGGCATGTAAGTTCTTGCTCGTTCGTCCCTCGGTTCGTTGCAAGAAAATTTCTCAACTTTTACTACAAGATAAAAATCAATGCATACAGAAAAAATCTGTTAAAATCTGCAGTTTAGTTTTTTTACCTTTTTCCCTTCGTACAAACAAAAGAACGATATGCTTAAATACATAAGCTCAGAATAAGTTAATGGAATCGCATTATCTTTAAAAAAGTTCATGCACATAAAAAAATAATAATAATAATTTCTTCGAATATCCTTGGTAATAATTCTTACCGAATTTCACCGTGCAGGTCAGTGGTAATGGTTCCAGATCCGAGGTTGGACAATTCATACCATCAAATCTAGTGCAATTTGCAAGTAATATTATTATTAATAATAATATAGTTGTAAATAGAGATGTTAAACATTGAACCGCTAGCCAGTTCCACTTGCTTAAGCTCAGTTTGATAAACGGGTCAAGCTTTAGCTCACTTAGCTAATGAATCAAACTCTAATTAAATCTCAAAAATATACTACATTTTGTATATATATATAGTTTTCCAATAAATTGATTCTTTAAGACTCTTTTTTAGTTAATATAAAATTTTATAATTTTCGAGTTCAGCCGAGCATAAATCTACACATGTAAATGTAGACTCGAAATAATTCAATATATATCAAAACGAAATTAATTTCCTTGTACTTAGTTTAAATATTATTTTGCTTGTTCTAAACAGCAGCACGATGCCGAACGAACCCGAGTTTTTTTTTGTTTTCATCAATTCAATAAAAACAAAATACTTTACTAACTATATTTTGACAGGGAATAAGGAAAGTACAAAAAAGCCCAAGAATGGGAAAAAGCGACGTGATGAGACAACCAAAATCTTTTGGCTTTTGAAGTCATTTCATACAACAAGCGCTTTTATTTTATCAAAGCTGTGAGTCTGAAGACTCTGAACTACTTCATTGTCCCACACCGGAAACACAACACTAAAACAAAGTGTATATAAGATTATGCCTCAGCATTACTAAGCACGACCTTACTTGAACAGGATCTGTTCTATAGGATCGTACCTCTTTATCCTTGAGATATAAAGAGACAATCATCACAGTCTGGTGGATGAGTTATGGCTGCCCGGCTAGAGCGTGATTAACGGACCCATTGGGCTCGGTCCTGTGTCCATTGGGTCAGTAGAGGATCGTTCTTGGTTGGCTTTGGCGAGCCAGGATGGCCCGGCAGCTGTCTGACAGACTTCTCTTTTTTGTGATATTATTATATTTTTTATTGTTTTAATTAAAAAATAAACCAGCAATTTTTTGAAAATAAATGAAAAATTATATTTGACAAACTAGACTATTTTTTTTGCAAATTTTTTAAAAATATAAATAGCAATATTTGAAAATAAATATACTACTATTATTTAATGAAAAAATCAAGCATAACCTAGTCTGTATGTTATTTACTTGGAGTCGAGTGATTTTTCTTTTTTAATTAAATAAAATATTAGCAATATTTAAAAAAAAATTCATATACTATTATTTAATGAAATTTTTCGAGCATAACCTATGTTATTAACTTAGTGTTCCAAGAGCCGCTCGAGTACAAGTATAATTTACTATTCATCTAAATACACCGAATTCGAGCAAATTTCAAGTCAAACTCGAGACAAAATCATATATGAATAAAATTATTTCAAGTCAAGCCGAGCTTTCAAAATGTCGATTTTGCAAACGCATTGATTTTGCACCGGCATTTTTTGGACTCGGTTTTACGAGTTTATGATCAGAAGCTCTGGGATTTCATAGCTCACATTTTGCCATAGAATGTAAAACAACAACGAACTTTATACAAACGCATTCTTTTTTACATAGATAATCTCAGAGGAAATTTAATTCTATGTCTTTGAAGTACTTCTGGAGGAATGAGATACATCAGAAAAATGTGTTCCATGCTCTATGATATCTATTATCTTCAGACAAGTTTTTGTCGTAGAATTTTGCCGATTCATTCGCAATTTACGACCGAAACGTAAATCTGAATAGTGCATGATGAAACTTGAACCTGTAATACATATAAATCATATCAGGTAAACAATGAACTGGAGAAAGAAGATGAATCAAATTTCACAAATCCAACTGTATATTTATCGATAATATTGAAACTTTCCTTTTAAGGACTAATAAATTGGCTAAATTACAATAATTCAAGAAACTATGTGTAATTTTAACATATAACTAAGCCTTCTAATAATTAGCTCAACCTCAAGGATATACCATTTTTTTTTGTAATTAGTCTTCGATAAATAAGAGCAGATTCATGCAATGTAAATAAAAGCTGAAAATGTGTACCTCTTTTTCTTCCTGATACAGCAAGTTCAAGTTGAGTAAACCAAAAAAGGCACTGCAGGAAAAATAAATAAATAAATAAATAAAAGTTGTTTGTGATGATGATGATCTAGCGTGATTGCCGATGTTAAAAAAAAAACAAAAAAGAACAAAAACGAGAGCTACACGTTAAACTTCAACTACATAATGTGTAACATTTAACAGTTCAGATCTCCACAATGCATGCACAATGATACATTTAGCGACATGTTTAAGATGATAAAATGCATACAACTAACTAAACCATCACAAAATTCAGTCTCATTTATCACAGTGATATCTTTTTTGCCTATAATTTTGCACCAAACAGCATAAAGAAGTATGCTTTTGTGTCTCGTCCTTCACCTCGCCAAATGATTGTAAAGCCTAAAACGAAAGTATAAAAGTTCTTAAAAATTTCATCTTTGCACTAAAGGCACTAACAATCATCTAGCAAGAGTATTCAAGAGAAATATCATCTGCTTTCACAGCAAACAGTTTTTAATTTTTATTACTCGTCACTGATGATGCTAGAGAGAGAAGGGACTTACCGACTAAAAAAATGGTTAGCATCAAACCGAGAACGAAACGAATGGAATTGATGGGCAACACAGTTAAACCCAGCTGCT